CAGAAAAACCCCCCAAAGCCTGCTGTCTCTAGACAAAAGAGCAGGAAAGGTGTAGCCTAACAAGGGAGAAAACATTCTGTTAATAACCTCTCCTGCAGAAGAGTTAACCTGGGAGACCTGAGTCTGCTGCCCATAAAAAGTCCTGATGGCAAGGTTGGCCCTTGGCTGGCATCTGGGAATTGTACTGATAAAACAGTGCCCTTAGCTGATATTAGAATTTTCTTAAATGATCAGTGTGTCTCTCTGCGCCTAGACTGTTCACGCAAAGGATGTGGTTTATGCTGCAGACCTGTTTTCCTTCTAGGAGTCTGGAATTGGCGATAGGCAGCGGATACATAAATGACTAGCCCTCCCCACAAAAACCTTAGGCACCGAGTCTCTGATGAGCGCCCTAGAAGACAATACTTCATCCCGTTGTCACAATTCATTGAGATAATTAAGTGTATACTGGGCGATTCCACCAGAAGACAACTCTTAGAATCTTGTGCCTGGCTTTCTCTGGACTTCATGAAGCTTTTCCATTTGGAGATTTGACTTTGTAACCTTTTGCTATTAAATCTCATCTGTGAATACAACTATACTGAGTCCTGTCAGTCCTCCTAGTGAAAGAATCATTGAACACGGGAGTGTTAAGACTCCTGACACATTGCCATACTCCAACCAAGTATCATAGAAAAAGTGGTGGTCCCACCCTCATCCATCTTAACAATAGCCCCATGAGAAGCCTAGACCTTCGCCCTTGCTAGACTATATAAGAAGGTTCCCCAACCCACCTCCTAGGAGGGTGTAAGAGATGGCTGAATGAGAAGCCAGAACTTTCATCGTCTTCCAGTGGTAATGAGTTGCCTTCGCCACCTCCCATGTCAGCGAAGGCCAAGTGGGGAGGAGTGGGGAGGCACCCTGCTGCCTCTCAATCACCATGGTCTCGGTGGAGGGCTGGTGGAGAACATGAACTCCCATCCCTGCACAACAGTGATGACATGTCCTTTCCTGCCCACAGAGTCTGGCAAAGGAGGCCTAATGGGAAACCCGGATTTCTACCCCAACCAGGAAGTTACAGGGTGACATCTCCCTTCCCTGACAAATACAGCGTCAGAGAAGGTCTGCTGAAACAGAAGATTTAAATAAGATTTGGAGTCTCATAATGTAATAATACCCCAAATGGTCAGGATACAATAGAAAAGTACCTCTCATACCACCAGCCAGGAAAATCTCAATAAAATGAGAAAAGACAACCAATGGATCATTACAGAATAGACCCGGGGCGGGGGGGGGGGGGGTGAATGATATACTATTACGGACCGGATCCACCCTTGAGCTTCAGGGGTCCCCCACCCCATACTAGGTTCGCCTTGCCTACCACCAGAGAAAGACGTCTCTCAATGCCAGAGATTGGTGAAAAGGAAAGGGATTATTTATTTAAAGAGTTATGCAAATTTAAGAGTAATAACTTAATGTCTTCATTGAGATTCCAAAGTCCTTTAGAACACCCATACATGCAGTCCTTCCTTCCCCCTCTGCCCAGTCTAGGGTACTGTATCTCAGAAAAAGAAAGAAGCCCTGGGTTCTTCTCTGCCCAAGCCGCATGGTCCCAAAAAGACGCCACCTAGCTGCAGTGCCTGGGTTTAAATCCCAGCGCCAAACTTCCTCTGCTGCACATTTCTGACTCCTCCCACAATTGCACACCCAGGCCAGTATTCCCATATTTGTCCAGCTTTATTGGGTTGCCACAGTAAGTTCAGGCTGTATAGCCAGTGGTGTGAATCCAATCATCTCCATGCTCTCATACAGGCTCTGTAACCTGGGGGAGTTGCCTCCCAGTTACATCATGGGTTACAGTCACTCCCATCCCCCTGGCTCAAGGCATGGCCACAGCTGTTTAACATTTCTACGGAACCAGTTAAAGGTTACAGATATGTTAACCGATTGTCCTAGAATTTAGCTGCAAAACTGTTGCTATGCAAAACAACTCTCCATTGAGTTGCTCCCTGTTCCATGCGTCCCATCCTCCAGCTCAGAGTTGTGGGGCTCAGGACATCCTATATATATGTATTTTTCTAATACTTCCTGGACACTGAGTTCTGGACCCCATTACAAATCCCTATTTGTCCCCCACCATTGGCTGCACCCTGTTACAAGATACCAACACCAACATGAGATGTTGGAATTATTACAAGAATTTTCTTTCAGAAAACTTGTTTAGTGACAGTCTCACACTGTACTATAAGCCTTGTGAGAAAACAGACCATGTCTGATTTATTCACCAGTACAATCTCAGAGCCTAGTATGTTTGTTGAAGCAGGCACTTACTAAATATTTGCTGAATGGGTGAATAATGAATGAATAGGATGTCAGGAAAGCCTATTATATAATAACACATATTATACATATAATAAATATATATTAGTAAATGCTTATAGTTTATATCATGACTGGAACACAGGAAAGTTTTGAAATACACACCAAAATGCTCATAGCACCATAAAATACATTCAATATTTATTAAATAAATGAAATTGTAGAAACTGTCACTAAACACATTTTCTAAACAAAACACATTATAGACTGTGTCAAGTTTAGACATTTGTTTGAAATACACAACTGTGAAAGGGAAGGATAGCAAGATATCATGTTTATCATTGATGAAAATGAGCCAGTAGAAAGAGGTTAAAAATACAAGAAGAGAGACAGATGCTGGGTTTATAGAAAGCTTCTCGAGGAGCCAGAGCGCAAATATAAAGGTTGCCTTCAGGTAGAAGGAAACCGCCACGTTGCAACAGAAGCAAATTGAGGACAAGTGCTAATACAACTTTGTAGATTAAGGGGTCTGAAGTTGAGGCAATTCCTCTCTGAGACCTATTTTCTTAGGAAAATATATCGTCTGCCAAGAGCAAGGATATAAATTTTAAGATCTTAAGTCTGAGGAAAGCGGCAGTTTTAGAGTAGTCATTTGGGAAAGGATGTTCCACAGAAAAAGGTAAACGTGTCAGGCTGAATTAGGGGCCTGTAGAGTCTGCCCAGGCAGATTGTTGACTTTCGGCTCACTGACTGCGATCTGGGAAAACGCAAGTGTTGTATAGGTATTAAAACAGAGAAATAAAGTGCTACAGTTAAATAATTTTTTTTAAAAAGGGGATTGTTTTTCAACTGGAAAAAGAGGAAGAAAATGGGCTGAGAGAGAAGAGGAAAGGAAAAAAACAGGTCAGGGAAGGTGGAGATAAAAGCAGGGTGGTGGTGGATCTCTGGTTGGGGCACAGGAATGTCCTTTCGTCTTCCAATCCAAACAGGGTCACAGTGATAGCATTTATCATCCAATTTTGTGAAACTGGTTCCATATTTCTTTTAGTCTCTTAGATTGGACAATCTATCAAAACCCTATGATGGAATTACCAGGTAGCTTTAGTTGCCGCAGACAAGTGTGAGGCACTGGATAACACCCTCCGTGCATTAAAGAGGCTCCAGTAAGCAACGGGAGGCAGCTTAATTTTTCTCTTCTTATTGGTAGTTGTGAATTGCCATGAGCCTCCTTAGGTCCACTTTGTGTTTGTCCCTAGTTAACAAGAGCCCAGGAACAAGAGTTCCTGTATCCAAGTGGTATCTTTCAAGCTACTCCAAGGGCTTTTGAATATTTAGCTAAATAGAAGTAGACTTGGAGGAACCAATATCTGGGCAAAGGATAACTTAAAAATCCTCTGTTAAATGGACCGTTTGTCCAAAATACTCTGCTAGCATTATTCTCTGAGAAATACTACTTACTATTCAACGCTTGACAATTATTAAATTATCTATACTCCAGCAATACCAAACTTGTCAGACCCTTGTACAATGACTATTCCATTATCGAAAAGAAACTTTTTATGAATGTTACTTAGAATTAGTGACCTTAACAATATATATATATAAAGTGGCCAAGAATGTGGTTAGCATGTGAACAAGGCAAGGAAGATGATAGGTTGAAAATTATAATTCATCCTAGAAGCCAGTCCCTTGTTTTTTGACCATTTCTTTGGCTGGACTGCTAATGCATGATTTTTGTACAAATTCTTTAATTCGGGATCCCTCCCCCTTTTAAAGAAAAGATTGCATACTTTTTCTGAAAATATGCTTTGCTTTTGTAAAAGGAGCAGATACCCATATATTATCAGTGCAGTAAAAATTACCAAGAAAGGGAAAGGGGGTGTAAAACAGTGTGTGTCTTAACTAAAACATTGTTAAGGAACAAAACTTGGCTCTTTGCTTCTCTTCCCTAACAGGACACATGGACACATGGACGTTACGTTGCTTTCAAACAGAAGGGAAAACACAGCTTGTTCAAGGGCTGGTGCATGTTTGGGGGCAATATTATTGTAGTGTCTTCCTTTTCAAAAGCTAGGTTTTGTTTGGCGCCATATACAACAATTAGCTTGTCCTCCCCCCATATTCTGGCCGACAGCAAGTGATGCACGTTGGGAGTTGGCTGCATGAACCAGGTAGAGAATGCTCTGAACTTCCATTAAAGTCTGAAATTCTTTCGTCAGGGTTTGTAAATTGGTTTTCCTCTTAGAGCGAAGATGGAATGGAGGCGGGGATGGGCGGGTGGAGAATTTGGTACAATGCTATTAAAATCTTCAGTGCAGCTCTTACATTGAGACTTACTTCCTTGATTTTCTGAGTCCCTTAGACCTGCTCCTTTCTTTTCCTAACAATCCTGTTTCCCCCGTGGACTGGGTAAAATAGGTAGAATCCTAAACCGAAGTTACGAATGTTGGTAACCCCTGGTGCCAAGAAAATATCTCAAGTCTTCGGTCCTCAAAGGTCCGCTTTCAGACCTCACTTGGAACGTGGACAAAGCCGAGTCCTCCTCCCGAGTTTCCTGAAGATGTCGGCACCCCTGGGGCAGCCAGCGTACCACCTCCAACCCACTTCACAGCCCGCAAAACCACAGACGTCACATCCCCAAAACACCCTCAGAGCGCGGACCCTCCTGACTGGCGCATGCGCACAACAGGCGAGGGCCAGCGGCCATCCAGGGGGTCGTAGGCTTCCGCACAGTGGTCACAGTCTTGGTAACGAGTGGCTCCCTGGTCGCTACGAGGAAATCCCTGGTATCAGCCATCACGTATTACTACCCAAAGAAAAACAAAGGGAAGCAGCCGTGCTGTGTCCAGCACGTTTCCGTTTGGAACCCCAACTTCCGGTTCGTCGGCCGGTTCCCAACACTGCCTTTCACTTCCGGTGACTTTCGTTCTACTGCGGCCGATTCCTGCGTCTGCTACCGCTGGTTCCGCAGTACTCCAGGTGAGGGGACTGGGAGTACCCCGGCGTCCTGCCCGCGGAGTCACCGTTGGACCGGGAGGCAGCTGCTTTGCTGCTCTCTGGGCCTCCACTGCCGCCGGCCGTGGCGGGCTGGGGGCTGCTTGTGCGCGCCCCGGGGCGCCTCTGCCCTGGGCTGCTGCCCAGGCCCTCGGCCTTGGCCTGCGAGTAGCAGGGGCAGCTGCCCTCCCATCCGGACCCCCTCGCCTAATAGAGCTTTCGTGCGACCCAGTGGGCTTTTTATGTCCCCAAACTTCATTCTCCCTTTGGGGTGTGAGCATCTCTGCCCCTCGTTTTCCGGATTGACACCCGGTCCACTTGGATTTTGGGGCTTCTATTGCACCTGCTTTCTAAGCTGCTCCATTGCAGCCCCTTCCCTCAGCGCTCGCCTCTGCACTGCCCCAGTTGCCGCCGTGGTGCTGTCCTGGGTGGGAATTGACAGTGGTACCTCACATACCTTTTGCAAGGCTTGTTGAAAAGTTAACCCCCCTCCCCTCGATTCCCAAGAGGTTAACTTTTGCTGCTGTTATTTTCAAATTTTCGCCTTTGCAATATACTTTTTAGTCATGTAGTCTTATGCAAATTGTTTTACTTGAGTTTTCTCATCTAATAATATTAGATGTACAATAATATTAAAACTATTTAAATTTGATTCAGAAGGTCCATTTTTTTTTTTTACTGAGGATTGTAACATTTGTTAGAGCAGGTTCTGTCCAAAATGAAACACATTGCTCTGAAGTGACACACTTTAAATTTTTAGTAGAGCAGGTTGTAAACATGTGAGAGGAAATATCGGTGGATTTGTGGTGCTCTTCTTTTAATGGGCATGTTGAAGACACCTGCCACCCTAAGTTCAAATTATTTTTTTAAGATTCAGAATTTGCTGCCTTTCTTGCAGTTGGTTGTAGCACATGAAGAGGACAAAGGTTTCAATAAATAAGTGACAGCATTTGTAAATACCAAAACTTTGAAATTAGAAAATTCATTTCTCCAGTCTATAGGGGGAAAAAACTTAAGAAATCTGTTAGAAAGCTTTATGGAGGAGGAGACCTATATGCTCTTGTTGGTGAGAACTATTCACAACTGTTTATGATGTGCCTGTGGGTTTTGTATTTATTGATCTTTGATGTCTGCAGGTCCAGTTCAAGAGAGAAGGTGTTGGGGGAAAAAACATGAAATTTAGTCACGACCTGTTCTGTTACCAGTTATATGCCCATGAACAGATGATATAACTTGTCTGAATGCCTGTTTCCTTAGTTATAAAAGTGGGACAGTTCTTACCAACAAGCTTGCTAATTGAGATTATCTCCACAAAAAAACTGTCTAGTGTATAAATATGAAACAAGTAATGGTCATTTACTGTTTATTTAACACAGTGCCTGGAATACGTCAGTTTTTAAAAATTTAATTTTACCAATACTTATATAATGCTTCTTACCATATGCCAGCTCCTGTGAGTTATAAATACAAACTAATTTAATCTTCCTAAGAACCCTGAGATACAGCTTGTATTGTCATCCCTGTTTTGCAGATGAGCAAATTTAGGCACTAAGACTCAAGTCACTTTCCAAAGTCAAGATATCTAATAAGTGGGAGAGCTGGGGCCTGAATTCAGATAATTTGACTAGCGTTTGTGCTCTTAATGACTCATTTCACCAGCTCTCAAATGTGAAATGAACAGTGGTCCATCATGGAGAAACTTGTCTGTAGCATAAACCTGATCAAACAGAGAGGGAGGGATAGATAGCTAATTATTGCAGCTTTTCAGGTGAACTGAGAGAATCTGATAGAATATCAGGAAGCAGTGATTCTAAGCCAAAAATTGAGAAGGTAGAGGCATTTTAACCTTGAGTCCTACCAACTTTTGGTATTCGGGTAACATTATTGTAAGAAAAACCAGTTTCTCTACCATCAGGATGTAAAATAGAACTCAAAACTGTACAGCTTGTAAAACTTACACGTTTGGATACATCTTTAAGATATTTTCACTTATTTGTATATGCCTTCCTCCTAGGTATTTTTTTCTGAACAAGATCTGCCTCAACATATGTTTCAAGGATGGCTCTCCCTATCATCGTAAAATGGGGTGGACAGGAATATTCAGTGACCACACTTTCAGAAGATGATACTGTGCTGGATCTCAAACAGTTTCTCAGGACTCTTACAGGAGTGCTACCAGAACGACAGAAATTACTTGGACTTAAAGTTAAAGGTAGTTCTCTCCTCATGTCAGATTTTTTTACGTTGATACAAATTTTTATATTAGCTATTATCTATTCTCTTTAATATGTCTTTCTCTTTGGAGATGTCTCTGAAGTTTCTTTGATAGAGCTATTTCTAAAATTGTTTTATTATATAAGAAAAAATATTAAATGTTACTTGAAAATACCACCAAGATTAAGATTATTTTTGATGCCTCTTATAGTTGGCACGGAAGTCCCAGGTAGAACAATGTAAGTTTTGGCATCTGCCTTTTCATTATAGCTTGTGCCTTGTACTCTCTCCAAATTATCTTTTCTGACTTGAAAGAGTCATTAGATGATTTAAAATGATGATTAGCAGTTATAGGCAGTGTTTATATGCAGTCTAAAAGGGACTTTCATGGTGTCTGTGTTTGTCATATTATTGAAAGGTGTGTTTTGAGTAGCATTAAATCTACAATGATCTTAGGTGCGCAGTTTTCAAGACTTTTTGGAAAACAATTATCTTCATCTGGAACAACAAAATAAACCATGAATTTACTTTGTTTCATGAGTTGAATAAGCAAGTGTGTTCTTTAAGATGGAGTTGGGGAAAAATCAAACTTTTTATTAGTTGGTACTTCTTAGTGTGTTAGAAATTCCTAATTCAGCAATATCAGTTTGTTAATTTACAGGGAAAAAAACCCTGCTGAGGGATCTGTTCCAAACTTTTTAATGTTAGGGTTTTGTATAATGGGATAGTGAAACTAGCACCTGAACTTTAGTGAGAAAACAGTCATTTGCTTGTATTGTAGGCAAACCTGCAGAAAATGATGTTAAGCTTGGAGCTCTCAAACTGAAACCAAATACTAAAATCATGATGATGGGAACTCGTGAGGAGAGCTTGGTAAATGTTTACTTTTGTTACCATTTGTCCCTTTGAAGATATGATTTCCATTACACTTCTGTACCATAGTTTTAATTGTGGTAAAATTATCAGTTTAGAAGTCAATGAAAAAATAAAATCTACACAGTGATTGTGGTATTAACTCAGCAGGAAACAAACACTGGGGAACTTGTTACTAAGTGGCCGCTGTAAGTATAGTAGTGCAAATGGTCAAATTGAATATGGCAAATTTGCCTAGTAAATGAATATAGCAGATTATGAAATGTGAAACTTTTCCCATGGTGTGTGCTTAAAAAACTTTTATACTCAGTCTCTCATTTGCTTTTTTTACTATGAATGTATTTGTTATGTTAAAGATAACGTAGTAAAACAAGACATTTTCATCTTCATAGGAAGACGTCTTAGGTCCGCCTCCAGACAACGATGATGTTGTCAATGACTTTGATATTGAAGATGAAGTGGTTGAAGTAGAAAATAGGTAAGTGCTTTTCACTACCAAAGCAAATTGGTTGTTGTAATGTGAGAAAAAGTGAATGCTGCATCTGATTTTATTTTTTCATTAGGGAAGAAAACCTCCTGAAAATTTCTCGCAGAGTAAAAGAGTACAAAGTGGAAATTTTGAATCCACCCAGGGAAGGGAAAAAGCTTTTGGTACTAGATGTTGATTATACATTATTTGGTAAGTCAGCTAAAATTGTGCTTTATCTTTTGTTATCCTTTTGTTTGTTTATGTTTTCCTTGCATTATGAAATATTTGAAAGCTTTTCCTATTATTCCAAAAGTAAATCATTGATTGTAGAGCACACATACAAGAATAAAAAGAAGTCATCTGTAATCCCAAGACTCAAAGTGACCACTCTAATATTCTTGTATATCTTTTCTTTTACTTCTTAAATTTTTTATTTATGGATTTTAGAGAGAGACTGTAAGGGAGGAGGGCGGAGAGAGAGAAAGAGAAATGTTGATTTATTGTCCCTTTTATATATACATTCATCAGCTGATTCTTGTGTGTGCCCTGACTGGGGATCAGACCCTCAGCCTTGGCTTATCAGGATGATGCTGTAACCAATTGAGCTACCCGGTGACCTATTTTTGTGTATTTTCAAGGGTGTGTTTGTATGTATACCTTTATTACTTTTGCTTAATGATATACTGAACATCTTACTCATTTAATATTATTCATTGTGGATTAAATATCTATATTGTTTAATCACACCGAATTCTAGTTTATGGGTGTGTCATAATTTAACCAAGTCCTTCCCTGTTGATTTACATTTGAATTTTAATGTGGGTTATTTACACATCATTTTTGATATTTCATTTCTGGTTTTCTGTTGTATTATGTTCAGGGCAGATTCTTGAATTTAAAATCTCTCATGTTCAACAGAGAAAGATGTTCATTACATCCTCTGATATTGTCAATAAATGATCAGTTGACTTACCTCTAATTCTACTTAATCTTTGAGTACATGTTGTAAGTGAGTGTACGCTTATTTTAAAATTTGATTATAAGTTAATTGGACCTCTCGTTTTGGTGAAATGTGATTGTATCTGGAAGGTGAATGGCTAAAAGTGAGTGTAAGTTGCCCTAGTTTGTTTTTCAAACTGTAAAGTAGCATCTACACTTTAAAGATTAGATGACAAAAACAATTTACACTTCACTGTGTAAGCCTGAATTCTCTTTTCTGCTCTTCACAAATTGAATGGAGCCAATCAATTAAAATTGGATCCCAAGGGTATTAAATTTTGTGCTTTGAAGACATCTTTGTCAGCCAATGTATGTAGTTTATTCGTAAGTAGCTTACATTTGAGTGTTTGTATTACATTTCCTATGCTTAATTGACATTAGGTACTTGTCCACTATAATGAACTAATACTCATCTATGACTGATTTCCTTTTAGACCATAGGTCTTGTGCAGAGACCGGGGTAGAATTAATGCGGCCATATCTTCATGAATTCCTAACATCTGCATATGAGGATTATGACATTGTTATTTGGTGTAAGCTATATACACATTTTTTTTGTTTAGATTTTCATGGAAATAAGGTTGTTCCTTATGTTATTCTGCCTTAATAAAATGTCACTTAAAATGACCTACTTTTAAATATGAGACAGTTTTCATTCATTTTAGCAAATTTTTGATAATCATGTTTGACTTTCTTGTATCATAATATAAGCTTGTACATATGGTTGCCAAATACCACTGAAATAGTTAAATATGGGAAGAGAGTAGACTATGGTTTGAGAGTAAAATGTCCTCATTTTTATAAGACCCCTCCCCACCTGGGTTAGGAACCTTTCTAATCTTTACTGTAGAATCTTTGGTGCTTCAGTATATTAGGATATTGTTGCTTTCTTCTTTCTTTCTCACTCTGCTTTCAAAACACTTGGAGAAAGTTACATATTTTTAAAAATCAGAGTAATGTGGTTCTTCAGAAATAAAGAGAGGCAGTGTGATACTGCATAAGGAAAGGTAATGAATGGACTAAAGTAGTCTAACTCAAACTGTGGTCTCTGGATTATTCCAGGGACGTACAGGTCTGTGATAAGATAAAGGTAATGAATTGGCTCCAAAAAGTCAATTTACTATGTTGCTGAGCATACCGTTTAGTTTAAATGGCAATTTTTTTTTTGTGGTAAGACTTTCTTGAAAAGGGAAGCAAAATTTTGAAATCACTGGTATTAAAATTTAATCCTCAGTTTATCTGACCTCCTGTTCTCAAGTTACTAGACTAAATAAACCTAATAGATATTACAAAATAAAATGTTTAAAATGGGAAAACTCGAAAACTCCTTTTTCGAGTTCAATTTTTTCAAGTGTGTATTTTTTAAAAGATTATATTTATTGACCTTTAGAGGGGAAGGGAAGGAGAGAGGGAGAGAAATATCAATGTGTGGTTGCCTCTCGTGCGTCCCCTACTGGGAACTGGCCTGCAACCCAGGCATGTGCCCTGACTGGGAATCGAACCATGATCCTTTGGTTCTCAAACCCATGCTCAATCCACTGAGCTACACCAGCCAGGGCTAAACAGTTTTTTTTTATTGATTCTAGAAATAAGGAAAGGAAGGGAGAAAGAGAGGGAAAGAATCATTGGTTTGAGAGAAAAACATCAGTTGGTTGCCTCTTAAACACACCCCGATCGGGGACCAAACCCACAACCCAAGCATGTACCCCAACTGGGAATCAAACACATGACCTTTTGGTTTGTGGAACAATGCCCAGCCAACTGAGGCACAATGGCCAGGGCTAAGTGTACTGGATTTTTTATGAAAGGCCACATGGTTGTATTGTAGTCTATAAATTTTCTTTGTATTTTTCCTTGTAATCAGAGTTATGTCTGTTGTTTCGTGATAATATGAGTTCACAGTCACTAAGATTAATGACTTTAATACATAATTTTCTGCCCTGGCCACTGTGGCCCAGTTAGTTGGAACGTCATCTGGTAAATCCAAAGTTTGCAGATTGGATTCCCTAGGGCACATACCTAGGTTGCGGGTTTGGCCTTAGGACACATGCGAGAGGCAGCTCTCACATCAGTTTCTCTCCCTCTCCCTCCCTCCCTTTCCCTCTTTCTAAAATCTATAAATATGCCCTGGGTGAGGATTAAAAGAACAGTAATAAAATAAAGAATAAATACTTAATTTTTTGGCTTATAAGACACAGAAGAAAGCTTCCTGTGACACAGATTTTTATTCAGTAACTCTGATATCTGAGATGACATTTGAGAAAAAAATTTATACTCTACATTATTAAGATAAACTTAAAAAATTAGAGAACTTTATAATAATATGTTTAAAATGTTATTTTTATAAATTATGATATTTCATGGTTATATGTTGAAAGGGCACCTCAAAGCTAAATAAAGTAGGGTTTTAATTCTGGCTCTGTTTTGACTATGTGATCCTGGGCAGGTTAGTTAATCTGTCTGCACCTTAGCTTGTTCATCTGAGAAATGAAGATAAATAAACCTATATTACAGGGTAGTTGTAAGAATGAAAATACCAGTATAGCACCTAATACTGTGTCTGGCATGTAATAGTTACTTAATAATTAGAAACCTATTTTGTTATCTGTAAATCTTTTTGGTTTTCATCTAAAAAACATAAACACAAAAATATATACTGAATTTAAAAATTGTTTTTCATCTCAAGATTGTTGTCATTGTAGATGCATCATTCTCTAAACTGTTAGGTTAGCTGGCCAGTTTTGCATGGGAGGCGATTCCTCTGGTGGTTGTGTGTGTGTGCTTGAGAAGGCAGGTACCTTTACTGCTCTTTAAAAATACACCTACAGCCCTGGCTGGTGTGGCTCAGTGGATTGAGTGCCAGTCTGCGAACCAGAGGGTCACCGGTTCAATTTCCAATCAGGGCATATATATGCCTGATGATGTTTCTCTCCCTTCCTTCCCCTCTCTCTAAAAATAAATAAAATCTTTTTAAAAATACACATTTAAAAAAATTGAACTCCTTTTTCCCATTTTAAACATTTTACTTTGTAATACCTATTTGTAATTTGTAGTCTAGTAACTTGAGAACAGGAGGTCGGACAAAGCTGAGGGTTAAATTTTAGTATCAGCAATTTCAAAACTCTTTGGTGTCTGATAATGAGCAGATACACAACATGCATTAGTTCATGAATGTAGTTGTCTCAGACCCTCTGTTAAAAGCTGCTACACTCAATGAACACTGAGCTTGCTGAGCTTAGCAGAATTCATGGAGCCTAGCTAATCTTTAACAGTAACTCTCTACACAATATTTATGTCTTTTTTTAAATTGATTTTTAGATAGAAGGCGGGGATGAGGGGGAAACATCAATTTGTTCTTATTTATCCATGATTGGTTGCTTTTTGTATGTGCCCGGACCTGAGATCGAACTTGCAACATTGGTGTATCAGGAAGATACTGTAACCAACTGGACTACTTGGCCAGGGTTCAACACAGTATTAATCTGCTTATATTGACATATATATTTGTGCATTGGCTGGATAGAAGAATATGGGAATCCAGAGACCCTAACTTTAAGTTTAGAACTGATACAGAATAGTACTACAGCTGTTTTAGATAATTTAGGTGTTTATTTATAAATTTCCTAAATTCAGAGTGTTTTGAGCATTTGTTACTATTTTTTAGATACAAGTTGTTTAAACTTTGTCTTGAAAACATGCTAAAATAAATTTACTTTTATAAATACTTAAAATTACCATACATGTATAATTTACTGAATTTTTAGTCAGTCTTGCTTAGAAAACTTATTATATATACAGAAGAAAGGTTTTTTAAATGAAATTCAAGCTATTCATGTCTTGTATTATCATTCCTCATGATTTAGCTGCCACAAATATGAAGTGGATTGAAGCTAAAATGAAAGTAAGTGTTAGAAAATAATCCATTTATGAATGCTTTGAAACTGCATTTGTCTTTTTAAAAGTTCTTAATTGAATTACTTTTATTCTCATCGGAGGGCATTCAGTGGACAGTGTCAGGAGGTAGAGGCCTGTGTGAAGTCCAACGGGCGGGAGGGGTTGAGCACCACGCCTTTTTCAGGAAGAAGCACAGCAGAGCTCCTGGTTCTCCTTCCTCTCCTTTCACTGTAGTGCCTTCCTTTCCATTGTTCTGCTGTTTGATACTTGAAGGAGTGGTGCTCTTTTGAAATAGTGAATGGGGAAGTAATGTTTACTTTATTTTCATTGGTAATGACTTGACTCAGCCACTTATTGACTCAGCTAAGTGCAACTAAAATACTGGCCAGTTAAGTAAGAAGTGGTGGCCAGGGGATAGAAAGTTGGCATTCTGGGAAATTATAGCTGGAATTTTCAGAAAGCCTGGATTTTCCACATTATTATATTTTAACCACATGAATATTTGTATTTATAGGAGCTGGGAGTGAGTACAAATGCAAATTATAAGATTACCTTCATGTTGGACAGTGCTGCTATGATAACAGTGCACACACCACGGAGAGGATTAATAGATGTAAGAAGTCACTTTCCTTTGATTTAACAAGTTGTCTGTTTTCCAGTGTACTTTTGTATTTATGTTGATGGAATAAACTATAGAGTTTAGAACTACATCTGAGTGGTCAGCAGAGTATCTGAGTTTTGACATGGGAAGATGAATTTAAGGTTAGTAGACTTTATTTTTTTTACATTTGAATTTTAATTATAAAATTAAGGGTCTTGATGTAGGAAAGGTCAAGAAAGGTGATGGATAATTGTCCCATGATGATGACAGCACAGGGTTGCTGAAGACAGAGTAGTAGATGAGAAAAAATACTGACTGTCCTCAAGGGAGATACTGGAAACAAACCAAAACATGCTTGTCCTGCCCTATGTGAAACTGATAAGTAAAAAAAAACATGTCATGCTGCATGCATTTTGGGGTGATGTGTGTGAAGCCCCTGAGAAGAGCAACAAGAGCCATCAGAGAAACGGACTGGGCTAAAAATATTAGGGTTCTTCACTTTATTTACTTGTCAAGTCAGTCATATTATTGAACTCCTGCCATCTGCAAGTTCTTGTGATAGGCACTATCACAGGGAATAAAGAGAGGAAGAAACATGGTCCGTGCCTTTTGGAAACACAGACTGATAGGAATTGGGGAGAACCTAGCATGCTGGGAAAGCTTAGGGGGAGGCAGTACTAAAATTGTCAAAATCATGAATAAGAAGATTTAAGTGCATGGGGATTTGTTTAGTAAAGGAAAATATACTATATATATCAAAGGGGAAATATAATTATTACTTAGTGAATAATAAATTTATAAATGAGATGGTACATTTACAAAATCTAAATGGTAAAAAGTTTGGGACATGTTAAACTTAGTAGTGTTTATAATAATGACAAATCAGGAGTAAAAATTCTCACTATACTGACAAGAGGAAATTGGAATGTAAATTTGCGTTTATATAATGGGATACAGCTAAATCATATGATGCAGAAAGTAGTTCTTAACCTTTGTTTGGTTCAGGTTCCCCATTAGCTTAACTGTGGCTGCTGCTGTTTATAAAAAAGGCTGAAGGTAAATAATGTTATCAGAGTATCTAGTTGTTATCTTTGGTACTGACTGGATTATAAATAATGGCAAATTTTCTTTTGAGCTTTTAGGTGTTTTTGATTTTTTTCTACAGTTGACAATTCTACTTCTCTAATTAAGAAAAAGTAGTCCATGTTTGGAGAACAACTGGTACTTGACCTAAACACAAAATGACAACACTATTTAGGATGATGTAGGTTTCCTAACCCTAGGTGTCATAAAGCTCGTCACATTTCTTGAGACCTTGTTGGCCAAGAAAACCAAGAATCTGGCTTCTATGTCAGCTCCTGTATATTTGTCTTTAAGTATTTGAGGGTTTTGTTTCAGTGGTAAACAAGTAGTACAAATAAACTCAGGCAAATACAATTTTAGTAAAATTAAAATATTTCAATAACATTTTTGTCATACATAGAGCACAAAGAAGAAAATAGGCTTTCTTCACATTAAAATAAATTATAGAAGGAGAAAAAGAAAACATTTTTTAAAAAGACTTTATTTATTTTTAGAGAGGGAGGGAGGCAGAAACAGAGGGAGAGAAACATCAGTGGTGGCTGCCTCTCACCTGGCGCCCACTGGGGACCTGGTCTGTAACCCAGGCATGTGCCCTGACTGGGAATTGAACTGGCACCCTTTGATTTGCAGCCTGTGCCCAATCCACTGAGCTACATCAGCTAGGGCAAGATAACATTTTTAAATGACAGCCCTTGGCACCATTTACTTATTATCATTTAATCTCATATAATTAGTATTACCATATGCATCATATTATAAATGAGACTCTTAATCAAAATGTCCTTTTGCCACTAAAAATTAGTTTATTTAAAAAACTTTCTTCTAAATGTGTAAAATACATTCACATTCAAAATAAAGTACATAATGAGAAGTCTTCCTCCCACTTGGGCCCTCTAGCCACTTAATTCTACTTCCCACAGGAAATCAGTTTTATTTCTTATGTGGTCTTATAGACCTTGTGCAAGCACCAACAGATATGAATGTATAAAGGAATTAATTTTTTTGAAGGCTCATTTTAAGTATTCAGAAATAAAAACAAGAACTCAACAAATTGTGGTGTTTTGAAGTTAAGCAATCCAATGCCCTAGAAATTATGCACCTGTGCCACTGAATTAAAAACAAAATCAATTTTCTGTAATATTTGAGTTCTGTATTAAAATATTTGAATATTTAAATTATGTATTAAAAGGGCCAGGTACATTGTCCATCACTAAGGTTCTTCGTTTTTTTTGTTTTTGTTTTTTTTAAGATTTTTTATTTACTTATCTTTAGAGGGGAAGGGAAAGAGAGAGGGAGAGAAACATCAATGTATGGTTGCCCTTCATGCATCCCCTGCTGGGAACTGGCCTGCAGGGAACCAACCTGCAACTCAGGCATGTGCCCTGACTGGGAATCGAACCGCGATTGTCTGGTTCGCAGGCCCGCACTCAGTCCACTGAGCTCCACCAGTCAGGGCCTGTTTTTGTTTTTTAATATTTTATTTATTTTTAGTGAGAGGGGAGGGGAAGGAGAAAGAGTGGGAGAGAAACATCAGTGTGTGGTTGCCTCTCATGTATCCCCTGCTGGGGAACTGGCCTGCAACCCAGGCATGTGCCCTGACTGGGAATTGAACCGTGATCCTCTGGTTCACAGGCTTGCGCTCAATCTACTGAGCTACTTTAAAAACAGACTCATGTGACCTTCGGACTCTAAGGGGAGTAGTATTTGCCCAGGAAGTTATATGACTGCTCAACAGACATCTATACAATTATAGAGAATTTTTTAAATATGTTTTATTAATCATGCTATTATAGTTGTCCCATTCCCCCCTTCATTCCCCTTCACCCTTTACACCCTCTCTCACCCACATTCCTCCCCCTTAGTTTGTGTCCATTTGTCTTAAGTTCTTTAGCTTCTACATTCCCATACTTTTCTCACCCTCCTCCTGTCTATTTTCTACCTACCATCTATGCTACTTACTCTCTTTACCTTTTCCCCCTTCTCCTCCTCCCACTCCCCTGTTGCTAACCCTCCATGTGATCTCCATTTTTGTGGCTTTGCCCCTGTTCTAGCCACCTGCTTAGTTTGCTTTTGTTTTAGGTGTGGTTGTTAATAACTGTGAGTTTGCTGTCCTTTCACTGTTCATCTTTTTTTATCTTCTTTTTCTTAGATAAGTCCCTTTAACATTTCATATAATAAGGGCTTGGAGATGATGAACTCTTTGAACTTGACCTTATCTGAGAAGCACTTTATCTGCCCTTCCATTCTAAATGAACACTTTTCTGGATAGAGCAATCTTGGATGTAGGTCCTTGCCTTGCATGACTTGGAATACTTCTTTCCAGCCCCTTCTTGCCTGCAAGGTCTCTTTTGAGCAATCAGCTCACAGTCTGATGGGAAGTCCCTTGTATATGACTATCCCCTTATCTCTTGCTGCTTCTAGGATTCTCTCCTTCATTTTAATCTTGGCTAATGTAATTATGATGTGCCTTGGTGTGTTCCTCCTTGGGTCCACCTTCTTTGGGATTCTCTGAGCTTCTTGGATTTCCTGGAAGTCTATTTCCTTTGCCAGATTGGGGGAGTTCTCCTTTATTATTTGTTCAAGTAAGTTTTCCACTTGTTGCTCTTCCTCTTCCCCTTCTGGTACCCCTATAATTCAGATGTTGGAACGTTTAAAGATGTCCTTGGAGGTACCTAAGCCTCTCCTCATTTTTTTGAATTCTTGTTTCTTCCTTCTTTTCTGTTTGGTTGTTTCTTTCTTCCTTCTGGTCCACTCCATTTATTTGAGTCCCAGTTTCCTTCCCATCACTATTGGTTCCCTGTGCATTTCCCTTCATTTCACTTAGTGTAGCCTTCATTTTTTCATCTAATTTGCAACCAAATTCAATCAATTCTGTGAGCATCCTGATCACCAGAGCTTTGAACTGCACATCTGATAGGTTGGCTATCTCTTTGTGGCTTAGTTGTATTTACTGTGGAGCTTTGATCTGTTTTTCCATTTGGGCCTTTTTTTTTTTTTTTGGTCTTGTAGTGCCTGTTATGTATGAGGGGCAGAGCCCTAGGTGTTCACCAGGGCAGGTCAACCCAGTTGCTGGGTTGTGACGCAGTAGGTGGGGGTGGGGTCAGAGAGGGAACAATGGCGCTTGCTCTGGTCTCTGTAGAATTTCAGTCCCTTCTTCCTCTTCCCTCAACCACACTAGGCCTTTCTGGTGCTGGTTCCCCAGGTGGGTGGGCATGTGTACATCCTGGGACCCCGTGGGACTCTCCAATACACTCTCCTGTGAGGCTGGGAGTCTTTCCCTGTGCTGAGACTCTGGGTTGTGCAGTCTCTTTTGCTCCCCAGTTTTGCCTGCTTTATCTGCGCCTGGTTATCTGTGCCTGGTTTATCTTCATCTGATTTATGTGGGACCGCCCGGTCAGCCACCTTGCTTGCAGTGCCTTGCTTCCCAATCACCACCTCCCTGGGTCTCCCTGTTGCCACTCTGTGCCCGGAGTCTGCTAGCCGCCATCTGCGTGCCCAGGGTCTGCCCGCTGCCATCATGTGCACTCAGTGTGCCTTGTGCATTCGATGCCACTGCTCTTTGTGCCGTGACCTCCTCTGCTCGGCCACCTGACTCCGCCCTGCCGACAGGTCTGGATGAATGTATCTATTTTAACTCCTTGGTTGTCTGACTTCCATACAGTTCAATTTTCTGTCAGTACTGGTTATTTTGTTTCTGAATTGCTGTCCTTATTTTGGTTGTGGGAGGAGGCAGTGTGTCTACCTGTGCCTTCATCTTGGCTGGGAGTCTGAGAATTTTTTTTTTTTTAAGATTTTATTTATTTGCCCTGGCTGGTGTAGCTCAGTGGATTGAGCGCGGGCCTGTGAACCAGACAATCGAGGTTCGATTCCCAGTCAGGGCACATGCCTGGGTTGCAGGCCGGTTCCCCGCAGGCCAGTTCCCAGCAGGGGACATGCAAAAGGCAACCATACATTGATGTTTCTCTCCCTCTCTCCTTCCCTTCCCCTTTAAAGATAAATAAATAAAATCTAAAAAAAAAAAAAAAAAGATTTTATTTATTTATTTTTAGAGAGGAAGGGAAGGAAAGGAGGAGAGAAATATCAATGTATGGTTGCCTCTCGTGAGTCCCCTGCTGGGAACTGGCCTGCAACCCAGGCATGTGCCCTGACTGGGAATCGAACCTCAATTGTATGGTTCGCAGGCCCCTGCTCAATCCACTGAGCTACACCAGCCAGGGCCTGAGAATTTTTAAATTAAATAATTACTGATAGACTCATAGATGAAGAGCAGACGACAGCCAGTGGCAGGTTGGAGAGACTGAGCAAAAAGGAAATAGGACTCATGGACGTGGACAACAGTGTGGTGATTGCTGGGGGGAGAGGGATGTAAGGGGACTAAATGGTAATGGGGTAAAAAAGAATTTTAGATTATTTGATTAAAAAATGAGAGCTAAAAATAAAAAGAAATTAATTATAAAATCATTGCATAATAAAAAATTAATAATTACACTTCCTTTGACCCCAAATCTTCATGTTGAAATTATGGAAAAGTCTTATCATGTGATTTAGTTCAGTTAGACATGAATGTATTTTTTTGGAAATAAACATTTCTAGCTACATTTTGCTTTAAAGTGCATTACATCTCATTTCTGGTCCGTTCACACAGCCAGCTGTCCCTGTCTTACAGAGAAGAGAGACATACTGCGTAGTTCTGCAGGGCATTCTGCATTATTTCTGCTTTTAAGAAAGGGTGAACCATTGATACAATTCGAGTTAAATCTAAACTTTTATTCTAAGGTAAAGCCGCTTGGTGTTATATGGGGAAAGTTTTCAGAGTTTTACAGCAAAAAGAACACCATTATGTTTGATGACATAGGAAGAAATTTTCTAATGAACCCACAAAATGGACTAAAGGTAAGACATAATTTTACTTGCTTTGCTTATGTAACCTAGAATACGTGGTAGAACTTCAACATTGTTGAGTTTCATAAATTTTTGAAACTATTATATTCTTGTGGTTGCACAAGAAAAGCTTAAATATTTAGAAAAGTTTGTATAAAATTGAACACTCTGTCTTTGGTTAGTTAACTCATTCAGGTATTTTAGTTTTAACTAGCTTTCTCCTATCCCTGGCTCTGCCTCTGGCAACCACCAGTCTATTTTCTCTGGATCTATGAACTAGCTTGGTGGTTTATTTTTATTTTATTTTAATTTTCTTATTCCACATATAAGTGAGACAAGGAATGACTTTTGAGAAGATCTTTAACTTTAAATATATATATACCCTGGCCAGGTGGCTCAGTTGGTTGGAATGTAGTCTCCTGCACCAAAAGGTTGAGTGCTTATTCGATCCCATGTTGGGCTTTATTTGATCCCATGTTGGATGCACCTGGTCGGTGTTTCTCTCTCACATTTTGTCTTTTTCTGAAATCAGTAGACATATCCTCGGGTGACGGTTAAATATGTATGTATGTATGTATGTGTGTGTGTGTGTAATTGGTTTCATGTCTGTTTTACAAAATCTTTATTTTCCCAGCCAACATTTAGGCCCTCCTCATCTTTGGATGCAGAGATGTAATACACGTTTCTAGGTCTTTATGTTTTTAGAGCAGAATTTAAAAAAAAATGAGAGTAGAATCTCAGTAGAATCACTGAAAGAATTCCTATAAGTACATAAGTCTCCACTTCCCAAATTCTAATTCAGGAAAGGTATTTTTAAGCAATCTACAAGAACTTCTTAAATGTCTCTTTTTGAAAACCTGTCTTAAGAAGGTAGTTATTAATGATCTGCCCACACTGACAGGGCAGTTTTGAAATTGAGAAATATTCTGAAGCACTATGTTTTGTTTTCATGGTTTCATAATGCTTTTGGTAGAAGTCTCAAAGATTTCAGAGTTCAGATAACATAAGACTGCTTATTTTAAAAATCGTTAACTTCTAGTACTGTAAGCTTGCTAATCTTAAGATTTAAAATATATAGAAGGCATTGTGAATCATGAATATTGTACTGAACTAAAAGAACTTGAGTTTTGGTCATGGATAAATCAGTTGATACTCTGAAAACTTCGTTTTTATTATCTGTACAAGGAATTGATAATATGAAAGAATTCAGATGATCTAGATATTCTTAGGTTCCTAAAAATGGTTCTTTGGTGTGTGTGACAATGGCCATATGTTGCCTGTACTGCTAGTGAGCCCTTGGATCATTTTTGAAGAATGGTATGGTAAGCAGTGACTGTACTGGAGAAATGTGGAAGTGCATTAGGTGAATAATAGATTTCTTTATTTAACTGGTCAATTGACTTTTAGACTCAGAATTGTTGTATATTCGAGGTTTGTTGTTTAATGGTGCCCAGGACCAAATGCTTTAGCAGTAAAAGTAACTCATCAGGGCCTTGGGTTGAAAATCTTATTTACCCGCCACTGGACTCTATTTTCTCTTTCAGTTTAAATTCCTTCCTGCCTTTAAACTTGGAATCACTTTGGTACATTGTACATTAATAGTTTAAAAGTTAATATGTTGCCTTTTGTTGAATGAAGGAATACATTAAAACATTACAATATACTTACTGCACTACATCATGGTACCACACCTATTTACTACCAGCTCCAGCCCTTAAGCGAGGCTCTGCCAGGCTCCGCATGTCCACTGCTGTTGTGAAACAGCACTGCCCACGCTGCCTGTTTGGAAGTGGGATCTCCTACAAGTGCTTGCTTCCGCACAGACTGACAGCTGCCTGTTTTTCATTGTTACTGTGTAAAACAACCAACCAATGACCCATTTGCATTTTCTCTGGATCACAGTAAGGCTCCATTAATACTTTACTAAATATTATTTATTCAGTCCTTACATGGGCTTTTCATTAGCATGTGAGATGTTTTTAAAATATTTTTTATAATAGAAAAATCCAAATATAAATAGAACTCCAAAGAATTGTGTAACAAGACCTCCTTGTATACATCATCCAGTTTAAACAACTTATCACTTCATGGATGAGTGTGTTTGCTCTGTACCTACCTACATTCCCCTCTGTAATATTTTGAAGCAAATTCCAGACATACCATTTTATTTAAAATTAATATAAAAATATTTTCCTATTTTTAAAGACATTTTATTTATTTTTATAGAGTGGGAAGACAGGGAGAAAAAGGGAGAGGGACATTGATGCGAGAGAGAAATACCAATTAGTTGTCTCCAGTATGTGCCCAACCAGGGATCAAACCCACAACCTAGGCTTGTGCTCTGACTGGTAATCAAACCAGTGACTTCTGCTTTGCGGATGATGCCAGCTGAGCCACACCGGTCGGGGCAAAGTTAATATAAAAATTTTGAAGGTTATCTTGAGTTATATAAAGCTATTTGAGCTAATGTATTTAAAAAAGCAAAACTTTCTATTGGAACTGTAACAAAGAAAAGTTTATTTCTAAACTAAAATTCATAGTTTAGCCAATTGTGATAAAGGTAACATATAATGCCAATCGAGATATAATATCCTTTACTGATTACAGTTCTCCACCCTGCCTGCCATCTTGACTTAAAATGAATAAAAATATATATCTACCTTAAAATTCTTATCATAAAATATACCAATTGTAAAATTTGGAAATTATGACTTTTTGTGGGAGAACTCTTGGATAATTAAGAATATTTATGCAAACTTTAATGATAGATGCTTAAGATAAAATGAAAGAGGAAACAGGTTACAAATATATATACCTTAGCTATATAAAAATTTCATAGAAATAATACTGAAGTGAAAATCATCAATATTAAAATTTATCTCCCTTGTTAGATCAAGCTTGTAGTTGGGTTAACTTTTTATGAGTGAAATTATTCAATGAGTAGGAAACAGCTGGATTGACAGAAGGGGGAAAAGTCTAAGGAGTTATGCAAAGAAAAGCCACGTAGGGTTCAAGTGCTATAAGAAAGCTGGTAAATTAGGTGGAAGAACTCTAAACTTGTACTGTAAACATTATACCATAACTGTCAGTTTATGGAACTGAGATAATATAAAATTAATTTCTAGTATTCACATCTTTGGTGATATTTTAATCATGTTAACTCTAAATAATAGAATTGTGTAGATTCGCCCTAGTTTCTGTATTGTAATGTGAAATGTTGGATAATGCTTGTTTCTGAATAGATAAGGCCTTTTATGAAAGCGCACCTAAATCGAGATAAAGACAAAGAACTTCTAAAATTAACTCAGTACCTCAAGGAAATAGCAAAATTAGATGACTTTTTGGACCTAAACCATAAATATTGGGAAAGGTAAGTGCTAATTGTTTATTTCCTTTTTCATTAATGAATGAAAAAATTGGTGACTAGTTATACACATAACTCTTAATTTTTATTTAAAATGGGTAAATCCTAAGAATATTTTCTAATCCTCTGATATCCCCCCCCCCCCGAAGTGTTTTACCTTTTGTCTTAACCTCTAATTTCTTTAGAAACCCACATCTTAAAATCTTTAGTACTTCTAACAGAGAGGGCCTGAGAGACTGGTACGTGTTTGTGATGCTACCTGTAAATTGTTTTTTGACATTAGTTAATAATAGTCACTCTTTTATTAATCATATGGGAATGTAATCTCCATTCTCATACTGTAAAATAATGTCAGCATAAAATACACTAAAAGTTTTCCTGTTAAAATTAATCTACAAATAATCTCTGTATAGCAGAAAAGTTAGACAACTTTATTCTACTAGAACAATAATTACTTTTGATTTTCCTTTCCAAAGATAAAACTATTACCATCTTGGTGTCTTCTAGCCTTTTTAAAACACATATGTACAAACTGCATATAAACATCAAGATTTTGAAGCAAGGAAAAACCTTCTGAGAAGTGGACAGGATTATTATGTACTACAAGTAATTGTTTGGAATTTGATCTTTAATTTCACTAATATAGCCACAGGAAAAAATTGTTCGTGTAGAAACGACACTTTGGCTTTTCAAATTTTACTTTTGGCTTTCATACCAGTCTGACATATAGGTTCTATTAGAGTCTTGTAATCCTATTAGGAAGGTAAGCACGGATTTTTATCTCCATCTCCACATTGTAGATGATGTAACTAAGTGATGGAGACAAATGCCACAATGCCACAAAGGGAACAAGGTTTGCATCATTGAAACTTATCCAGGTGTTATGATTTTAAGAACTCTTTTCTCACCCCATTACCACTGAATATAGTAATTTATAAATATGAGAAATAGAGATATAGAAGTTTTAATTTAGTGGTACATTTCTATAAAATATGAAGGAAAATTTGTTTGATTCATAAATTAATGTCTTTGCATCTTTGTATCTTTGCACTTTTGATCAGAGTCCCTTAGCAACTTTGACCCATTGTCTTTGTGCAAGAAAAATAAGATCTTTAAATGAAGATTGAGGGATTTGGGGGAAATTGCAGTACTAATTATTTGGAAGGCAATATAAAGTGATAAGAGTGCAGCCTCCAGGACCTTATTTTGAATCTGAGCTCGGTCACTTTCTAGCTGTATGACCTTGCTTAACCTCTTTGTTTCTGTAAAATAGGAGTAAGTTCTAATAGAAAACTCTTGATATAGCTGTTGTGAGGACTAAATGAACTTAGAATATGTAATAGAACAGAGCATGGCACATAGTCAAAAAATGGTAGTGATTATGCACAGTTATTACTCATCTTAAAGTTTTGTTACTAAAATAAACTACTTTCCTTTGTTATTGTGACTTTAGCATGATATGGCCTAGACATCTTTCTTTTATTTCTTGCAGGTATCTCTCAAAGAAGCAAGGACAGTAGTTCCAAGTTATGCTGGCAGTTATTGATACTTGAGATCCATGAACTCTTGCTTTTATGCTAGAAATCATTATAATAGTGCTGGACACTGAAGCAAATACCAGACTGCTTATACTTGGTCTTCCGGTTTTTGTAAATTTAATTTTATATTTTTTGAAGATCATAGCAATATGCTAAAAATAATCTTTTTTCCCTATATGAATAAACTGTTACTCTTGAAAAATATTTTCTCCAGCATTGAGTACAGAGCTTTTTCCTGACCCTGCCCCCCCACATAAAATAGACAAAAATGTACACTCCGCAGTGTAATTTTGTGACTTTGGAAACAAGTTATGTTTTGTGCTCCTGCTTTATTTTGTTGGTGTCTGACTAAATCTAAGACCAAACCCATCTTGAAACTACAACTTTGACTTTAAAAAAAATTTATTCTCAGTAAGGAACCTAGTTTAGTATGCTTAATATTACAAGAGGTTTTTTTTTTTTAAATTCCTTTGTCATAGGCACAATGTTCCTTCTTATTCCACTATCTACATCTCTAAATTCTGAGCTGAGTTGGTTGTATGTGTGTCAATGTTCTTTGAGAAAAAACTGGAAAATGTCGGTTGTAATACTGATGTCATTGTATGAAAGGAAATGTAAGATTGAAGTATAGAACTAAGCAACAAGAATGTTTGTTTTTGGTGGCTAAGTAGAAACATTTTTCCTAAAACCATTGTCATACAAGCAGTTAAGGACAATACATTTTAAAATGGGACATATCACTGATTCAGCACTAAAAAGCATGAACAAAAAGTTATTGTTTTGTTCTAGCTATATCTTGTCTAAGTGCAAACACTGTTTCAGTAAAAAATATCTAGCCATAAACTTAAAAAAATTACTTGCATTGCTTAAGCCTGCAGATATGTAATGTGACCACTGTTTTGTGTTGACAGTATTGCTTTGTACAGTTCTTGTATTTGAAAGGAATCTGATCCTTTCAAATGAACGTGGTGTATATTCTTACAGGACTGTTTCAGTGGTGTAAATAATAAATACCTTTTCTTAAAATACTGTTATCTGCTCTGTGTTATCCCAAATACAGTACTTGCCTTTGTTGAATCACAAAACATTAGGTCCAGGGAAGGACCTCTTTAAAAAAATTAAATGTTTGTGGTTTTAAAAGTGTGTATTTTAGCCCTGGCTGGTGTGGTTCAGTGAATTGAACACTGGCCTGTGGACGGAAAGGTCACTGGTTCAATTCCCAGTCACAGCACATGCCTGGGCTGCAGGCCAGGTCTCTGGCTGGGGGTGTGGGAGAGGCAACCAATCATTTCTCTTGTACATGGATGTTTCTCTCCCTCTCTCTCCCTCATTTCCCCTCTCTCTAAAAATAAATAAAATATTATAAAAGTATGCTATTCATGAATTCAGAATTGGTTTTAGCAACTGTTAAATTATTTAATTCTAATAAGCACCATGTTTTCACAAAGATAAACTTCTCTTTGTGACAGGTTATTAGAGTATATGGTGCAGAAGAGTTTGAGAACCCTTAATTAAAATGATTCAATTAAAGGGTTTCTTAATTATGAAACTAAATATTTAAAGATGAATAGAATATTCATTTCATCGGTACATTTCCCACTGTAAAAGGCAGTTTATGCAAAGTAGGCACAGGAAAGGCTTAATCTTTTTAAGAGAGAAAATCACAAAACTTTAAACAGATATTTTAAACAGGTATTTTCTTTAATTCTTTAAGCAGACATTGCTTAAATATAAACAAATACAAAATTTGGCAAGCCTCAGGACGAAAAACAGGATTAAAAATATTTTTGCCATTAGGTGGTGCCCGAACCAAGTATTACTAGCTGGTATGCTAAATGAAACAATTCTGAGACAACACTGTCCGCCTACCGAGCTCAGCCGTGCTTGTGTTATTAGCACATTCACAGAGTGTGGAAGTTGGGGGTTGTCTTTGCATTTCATAACTTACTGAGCACATCCTGAAGTTATATATAGTTTTCCTCGTACGTGGCACACACCATAGAGCCAAATGACTTCCTTCAGATGCATATTCTGGTGAAACGGCAGGTCGTCTTTACGAAACAGTAGTTACCCTTTATCCGGGGTTTCACTTTCTGTGCTTTCCTTACCTGCTCTCAATGGTGGTCCAAAAATACCACATGGAAAATTCCAAAGATAATGCATATTTTCTCAGCGGCCGGCCATTCGGAGCTGCGATGAAATCTCCTGAGCGCTGCTGGGACCTGCCCGGTACGTAGAGTGGGCCCCTCGCCCGGCGGCGCGTCGGTGTCTCCTCGCCTGGCGGCGGCGTCTCCTCGCCCGGCGTCTCCACGCAGCCGACGCGCCTCCGCCGTTAGTCGCCATTTTGGTGGTCAGAGTGACTGTCGACGTATGACGTGCTTGTGTTAAAGTCACCCTTGTTTTTGCGTTATGAAGGCCCAAAAGCCCAAGGGTATTGTTGCTGGCGATTTTGATGTGCCACAGAGAAGCTGGAAAGTGCTTCCCTTAAGTGCAAAGGTGAAATTTCTCGATTTAGGGGAAAAAAATATCGTAGCCGGAAGTTGCTGAGATCTACAGTAAGAACGAATCTTCTATTTGTGAAGAAAAACAAAACTGCTAGTTTTGCTGTCGCACCTCAAACTGCAAAAATTAGGGCAGCAGTGTGTGACTGATAAGCGCTTCATTAGGATGGAAAAGACATTGCACTTGCAGGTGGAAATATATGACGTCATAGCTTGATACCAATGCATTGTCAGGTCAATAGTAGCCCACCGCTAAGCCACAACGTACACGACTCAACTCACTTCATTGCGTCATGTCGGCCTTGTGTCATCACAAGAAGGGTGAGTACTGTACAATGTTTTGAGAAGAGAGCAAGCAAGCGAGCACATTCACGTACGCCCTGTTCCAAGGAACTGGGCGACTGTTTTGAGACGCTGATTAGTATGACCGTGTTTGGGAAAGCTCCTAGATTTTCCTGTACTTCCCCTCTTGGGCCACAGGCTTATCCTTTTAAAAATCTGGGAATTATGACAGCGTATCAGGAATGGCCAAAATGGGAGTCAGGAAATCCAGGTTCAGGTCCGAGCCTTTGCGTTTGTCAGTGCTTGGGCAAGGGACCAGACTCCTGTGGCGTGCAGGGTCGTTATGTGTGAAGCTAGAGGTTCCCAAATTGCACTCTGCAGAGTTCAGGGGTGTTGAGGTGGCCTCAGGGCTCTCAGTGGTGAGTAGGGAGGCGGAACTGAGTGGCCGCTAGCTGAGTGGCCTTCAGCTAGAGCAGCTCTGCTTATATCTGTTTTATATGTGGAACTTCATAAAACTGTTTTTAACTGTGCAGAAAATATATTAATATATTCTAAGATTATATATCTTTACTATATAAAATAATATAGTAAATTCATTTTAATTGTGCTGGTAATACATTAATATTAAGATAGCAATATATTAATATACCTTGCACAATTAATAATCATGCAGAAAATAATATAATTATATTATATATCAACATATATGGATGTATTAATACATAAAATAAGATGTTTTTAATTATGCAGGAAATATATTAATACATTACATTATTAATATCTATTAATACTTTAAGAAATCAGAACATTGCAGGTATGATTAAATCCCCTTTGACCCCATTTTCCCCAGGCCTGTGTACATTGGGACTTCATCTTTTTAAACAGATTATTTTATTGATTATGCTGCTACAGTTATCCTGAATTTCCCCCCTTTGCCCTTCCTCCACCTAGCATCCCCCACTCCCTCAGGCAATCTCCCCATCACTGTTCATGGGTCATGGGTATAAGTTTTTGGCTAGTCCATTTCTTATACTGTCCATTTTTTATAGCATCCCCATACTTACATCCCCATGGCTATTCTGTAACTACCTATTTCTACTTCTTAATCCTCTCACCTCTTCACTTCTTCATCCATTCCCCCACACCCCCTCCCATCTACCAATCAAAATGCTCTCTGTATCCATGATTTTGTCTTAGTTTGATTTTCAGGTTCAGTTGTTGATACATTAGTATTTTTTGCCATTTTGTTGTTCATAGTTTTGATTGTTAAATAAGTCCCTTTAACATTTCACATAATGAACTTGTTCGACGATGATGAACTTGAGTGTTTTCTTGTCTGGGAAGCTCTTTATCTGACCTTCGATTCTAAATGATAGCTTTGCTGAGTAGAGCAGTCTTGGTTATAGGTTCCTGTTTTTCATGACATTGAATAATTCTTGCCAGTCCCTTCTGGCCTGCAAGGTTTCTTTTGAGAAATTGGCTGACAGTCTTATGGGAACACCCCTGTAAGTAACTAACTGCTTTTCTCCAGCTACTTTTAAGATTCTATCTTTAAACTTTGGCATTTTAATTATGATGTGTCTCAGAGTGGGCCTCTTTGCCTCCTTCTTGTTTGGAATTCTCTGTGCTTCCTGGACTTGCATGTCTTCAACATTTTAGGGAAATTTCCTTCAACAAATTAGGGAAATTTTCTTTCATTATTTTTTCAAATAGATTTTCATTTTCTTGCTCTTTCTCTTCTCCTTCTGGCACCCCAATGATACAAATGTTGGAACACTTGAAGTTGTCCCAGAGGCTGCTTATACTATCCTCTTTTTTTAAAAAGATTTTATTTAGTTTTAGAGAGAGGGTAAAGGAGAGAGAAAGAAACATCTGTGTGTGGTTGCCTCTCACACGTCCTCCAATGGGGACCTGGCCTGCAACCCAGACATGTACCCTGATTGGGAATTGAACCAGTGACTCTGGTTTGCAAGCCCATGCTCAATCCACCAAGCTACACCAGCCAGGGCACTATCCTCTTTTTTTTTATTCTTTCTTTTTTCTTATTGTTCTGATTGGTTGGGTTTTTTCCCCTTATATTTCATATTATTGATTTGATTCTCAGCTTTGTCCACTCTACTGTTGTTTCCCTGGAAATGGTTCTTTATTTCAATTAGTATATCCTTCATTTCTGACTGGGTCTTTTTTTTATGCTGTTGAGGTCCTCGCTAAGTTCCTTGGGCATCCTTATAACCAGTGTTTTGAATCTTGTATCTTATAGATTGCTTATCTCTATTTCACTTAACTTTTTCTGGAGTTTTTATCTGCACTTTCATTTGGGCCATTTTCTTTTGTCTCCTCATTTTGGCGGCCTCCCTGTGTTTGTTTCTATGAATTAGTTCGTTAGAGCTACTTTGATCCGTGTCTTGGTAGTGTGGCCTAATATAGTAGGTATCCTGTTGGAGTTCACTGGCAAAGACACCCCTGCCTGGGTATTTGAGGTACACCCTTTTGTGGGCTGAGTACACCTTCCTCGTGTAGTTGAGCCTTGGTTGCTGTTGGCAGACCAATGGAAGAGATTTACCCAGGCCAGTCAGCTGCAAGAATTGCCTGTGACCACTGCTGGTAAGCCTCCACCCTCTGTGGAGGATCAGCTGTGTAGGAGCAGGGTAGTGGTGCTCCAGTGAGGTCTGTAGCTGTCCATTTGGTGTGCTGGTCCTGGGATTTCCTTGGATGGTACAGCCCAAGGTCAGCCACCACCTGTGTTTTGTCCAGCACCACCCTGCCTGAGCTATAAATCTGCAATGGCTGCTTCTTGTGCAGGGCTTAGAGATTCCCAAGTGAAACCAAGCTGTGAATCTAGGCTGGCAACTGCTAATGCTGGGTCTTAGGGCTCAGTGAGTCTGTTGCTTGTTTGATAGAATTTAGGAAGTTGTGAAGCATGAGCCAAGACCAGCCATTCATATGGAAAAGCAGCTTGGGTAGGCCCATAAATTGGGTGGGATAGAATCTCTGGGGATCTTCAGTACAGGTCAAACAGTGTTTGCCAATTTGATGGAGTCTCAGATATGGCACTAGCTTGCTGGCTCAGCCTGGAGGGATTTTATTTCTCTGATTCTGTAATTGTTAGACTTCCATTCAACTCGGTTTCTGACAGTTCTGAGTGATGATTGTCCTATATTTTGGTTGTAATTTTTTAAAAAATGATTTTATTTATTAGAAAGAGGGGAAGGGAGGGAGAAAGAGAGGGAGACAATCATCAATGT